ACGCCCTGAACCCTAAACCCAAAGCCCTAAACCTTAAACACAAAACGCCCTAAACCCTATTAACCCTAAACCCTCGTTCTTTGAACGCCCGAAACCCCAAACCCTAAACCCCAAACCCCCCGAAACCAGAACCTGCGCTCCGAAGCCAAAGCCAAACTCCAAGCATCTCCTCGGCAGAGGTGGGTTCCTTTTAAAAGTCCTTTGAGGGTCCCTTTTCGGGTCCCTTTTAGGGTCTCTTTACGGTCCTTTTTAGGGTCCTTCTTAGGGTCCTGTTAGGGTCCGGTGTCTTGGTTTAGGGTTTAGTTTAGGGTTTAGGATTTAAGGGATTTAGGCTTTAGGGTTTCGGCTTTAGGGTTAAGGCTTTTGGGTTCAGGGATTTAGGGTTTAGGGGTTTAGGGGATTTAGGGGGGTTTAGGCTTTAGGCTTTAGGGCCTGGGTTTAGGGTTCAGCAGTCTGCTTGTATTTTTGATCATTGTGATTATTCTGTCTACTGCTGATGAAAATGATAATGATCCTGCTTCTGATTGTGATGACTTGGGAAGCCCTGGGAATGCTCAACTTAACTTTCAAGAGGTGAGCCCCCCAGAGCCACCAAGAGGGTGTAAATGAGAATCATGCGATGCAAGTCCTGTCTTAAGCATTCTCGGGGTTATCGGCGTTCAGTTGTCGGTGGAGCTTGGCGACGACATGTCAGAAAGAAGGGTAGCAACTCTACCACAGATGTAGGAGCAACTGTGCGACATGTTGTGTTAATCCCAGCCCGTTTTGGTTTTCGACCAATTCCAGCATACTCCGTATCCCGGCGTAGCTTCTGTTCACCTCTTGCAACCGATAGCAACATGGTGGTGCGACTCTTAACAGAATCCTCCATTCTGCTACTTCCACTGGTAAGCCGCTATCTCCTTTCCTGTATTCTGCATCTTTCCAATAGTGGACGTCACAACTGGACCGCCAAAAACCCTACCTTAAGGACTTATACATCATATTAAGGAACTCTAGAAAGCAAGGTTTTTATAGGTAAACTCTAAACTTTTAAGTTGACGCCGAGTGACATGCCTGGTTTCAGATCCAGCTTCTTGGCCTCGGCTTCGTTGGAAGCCCCTAAACCCAAAACCCCAAAACCCTATACACCCTAAACCCGTGAAGCCCGCAGATCATAAACCCTAAACCCTAGACTCCTAGACCCTAATAAGCCCTCTACACCCTAAGCCCAAACCCTAAAACCCTAGACCCTAAAACCTGTAAGCCCTAAGCCCCTAGACATGATAAACTCGAAGAACCGAAACCCCAACCCTAGACCCTAAAACCTAAACCCTATGAACCCGAAGCCCCTAAACCCTAACCCTAGCCCCTAAACCCAAAACCCTAAACTTTGGGTTTAGAGGTTAGGGTTTAGGGTTCAGGGGTTTTGGTCCGAAACAGGGCCCCTCAATTAAGGAATTATTGGTGTAGGGTTAGGACTTACAGATTCGAGAAAGGGCACCTGAATTAAGGAATATGGGTTTCAGGTTTATCAACAAAAGGTTCATTTGTTGAGCTAACTTGCATGTTTGCCCGTTTGAGGTTTAGGGTTCAGGGTTTTTTTATAAATCAGGGTAATAGGGTGCTCCTGTGAAGCTTCTTTTTCAGGATCCAGATGAGTGGTTGTCAGAATTAGGGTCCCTTTTTGGGTACCCTAAGTATTAGGTGCCGTATTATATTACGAACCCAATAAAGGACCATAGTTTTGACAACCACCCAGATAAGGGTTCCTTTTATAAGAGGTTTAGAGCCAAGTCTAGTTGATACGGTTTAGAGTTCAGGGTTTGCCCGCGGCTTGGGCGCTTTCCTGTCCTGCGGTACAAACAGCGGGCGGGAGAAGAAGGATGCCAAAACACCCTAATAAAAATCTGTAAGCCTCAAACCAAACCCACTTTCGCAAACCCCTGCTGAGTCTCTAAGTTGGCACCGAAGTAAAACCTTAGCCCGAAAGCACAAACCTTCAACCGCGCTCTCCTCTCTCCCTGCTTCTGATTTCTAAATCTTCTGCCTTAGGACCTGGGGTCGGGGATGCCCTAAGCCCTACAGCTTTCAAAGTTTAGGGTTTACGGTCCGGGGTTAGTGATAACCCTAAACCCTAAACCCTAAACCCTAAACCCTAAACCCTAAACCCTAAACCCATAGGACCACCGGCGCGGATGACAAAAACCACATCCCCTAAACCCGATGCTTCCAGCGATCCTGAAACCCTCGAGCCCCTGGCCCTCAAGTCTATCAATAGGGCTTCGGGTTTAGGGGATAGGGTTTAGGGTTTTAGGTTTAGGGTTTTAGGGTTTAGGGTTTAGGGTTTAGGGTTTAGGGTTTTAGGTTTAGGGTTTTAGGTTTAGGGTTTAGGGTGTCCAAAGCCTACACCCCAGAGTTCTAAACCCCAAAGCCCCAGACCCAAGACCTTAAGCCCTGAGCCGCAGCACTCAAGGGCCAACCAGTACCTGCCCTCACTGATAGCTCCCCAGAGACTCCAAAACCCCTTAACTAAGGAATATACCTTAAATTATAATAGGATCCCTAATACAATTTAAGGTATATTCCTTAATTAAGGGATATTGGAGTCTCTGGCTTCACAGCGAAGTTGCAATAAGGTCCATCTTCGCCTGACAGTCAGAGCCGAAAAGCATGTAGAAGCATCAGACGGGTTTTTGGGGTTTAGGGTTTAGGGGTTTAGGGGTTTAGGGGTTTAGGGGTTTAGGGTTTAGGGGTTTAGGGTTTAGGGTTTATGTGGCTCGAAATAGCCCTCTGTTATAGGAGCTATACGTACTTTTTCAGGAAGTCACAGAGATTCGAAAGCTTAACCTTTCCCCAAAGCCCTAAACCCGAAAGAAGACTGCTGAACTGCAAGGAGCCCTCGGGTTTAAAGGTTGGGGGTTTAGGGTTTAGGGTTTAGGGTTTAGGGTGTTGGAACTACTTCCCCAAAGAAGCCTGAAAGGAAAAACTTTACAGGAGCCCCTGAAAACAACCCAAAAAGAGCTCGAAAGGAACTGAACAGGGAACCCAAAACGGAGGCTCGTAGGATCCCCCCTCAAGAATCGGAAGATACTCCATGCCGAGAGTCAGAAAGAATACCGTCAACCCTAAACGCTAGAAGCCCCGATCGGAAATTGCACTGCTTTTGTGCCAGAAGGCTGGGTAGTTTTGAGGGCAGCGGGTTTGTACCAGCCCAGTCAACGTCCTCTGCCTGTTTTATGCTCCGAAGATGTCTGGGGCAACGAAACACAAACCCTGACCCAACCCTCAACCCACAACCCTAACTTCAGGTTTCTATGGTATACCTGTGACCGAAAAGACCTACCATGTTAAACCATAATAAGGAAGCCTAGCAGGTACAGTAGGTCTTTCCGGCTACAGGTAGTGTTTAGTCAGGAGCACTGAGGAAGGCATCTTATTCAGGTTGCTGCAACTCAAAACACGAGACCTGAACCCGAAATGCGACATTCCTAACCCTAGCAGGGTTTAGGGTTGAGGGTTTAGGGTTTAGGGAACACCAACACATGCAAAGTCCCAACTTCTAGATCAGGACCGATACCTTTTTAGCAGACCATCAACGAAATTCAAGATCCACGAAACCATTTCTCGCCTCCTGCGCTTCGTCTAGAGACATGTCTGGGCGTGGATAATAGGCGCAGGTATACCTGATATTGGGCTTCTACAAGGAAGGACGCTTGGATCAGGATTTTGTAGAGTTGTAACACGTATCCTACAGTTCCAGCCTAATAAACCCCAAACCCCAAAGCCCAAACCCCTAAACCCTAAATCCGAAACCCCCAAACCCCTTGACCCCAAACCCTAAACTCCAAACCCTGAACCCCTAAACCACTTCTGTCAAACCTTCAGGGCATGGGCTTAGTGTTTAGGGTTTAGGGATTAGGGTTTAGGGTTTAAGGTTTAGGGTTTAGGGATTAAAGTTTAGGCTTCAGGGTTGACCTACGCCTTAAATTTCTAACCCCACACCCTAAACCCCTGGACCCTAAACACCACCCCTAATCCGTAATTCCTTCCCAAAGCACTGCTATTGCTAACATTGGCACTACTCAGGCTAAGGCACTGCCCCATAATGGTAGCCGGATCCCAAGTAATTTCCCTAAACCCTCGCAGTTCCTTCCTGTCTTAGCCGAGGCTGATTTCCGTAGCATCCAGTTGAGGGTAATGCAGACTCTGGCTTCACAAGGGTTTTCTGGGCCTTGATTGAGCTCCGCAGCCACAAACATATGGGTGGTTCTCTGGATTCGGGTCCCTTTTTTAGGAACACAAAGAAGGCGGCACTCTTATAAAAAGGACCCTAAAAGGACCCTAATTTAGAGAACTCCTCATATTATGGAACCCTAAACCCTAAACAGGGAGCTAAGGCAAACCCTAAACCGGCGGACGCAGCCCTGGAGAAGCGTCCAGGCTAATTAATAATATTGGGGGCTTACTTACAATGGAGTTTTAAGGTTTAGGGTGTAGGGTTAAGGGGAGGTATCTTGAAAGGTTTAAATGAGCTAATATTGGCGCTTCTATATCAGGCCGGCTAACACTACGAGGCGACCTTATCGCAACCAGAGACATGCGTGCTTTTTGAGGCGAACGCGCCCGTGCTCACTTGGGCTTCGGGGGTTGACACCTCGACAGCAACTCGAAACCCTAAGCCCTAAAACCCTATACCCTACACCGTGGTTGAGGGTTTAGGGTTTGGATACAGGAATCTCCCAGAAAAGGTGCACCTCAATTTCGGTAGTATTGAGCTTCGGGTCTATGGTGCATGATGACAAAGGCGTAAAACTCAGCATTTACTTGCTCGGAACCTCCAACCCTAAACTTCCCCACCCAACGCCTAAGGAATTTGAGTTCTTGCATGTTGGCGTCACACCCCTCGGCTGTGCTGATTTCCTTGTCTGGGCCGCGGCAAGTCGTATCTGGAGCACTGGAAGGCCCAACAATGGGATGGGGGGGAAGTCATAAAGGGTTCTGTAGTGTTTAGGGTTTAGTGGCTGTCATGCAGGGTTCTGTAGGGTTTCGCCAGGGCCTGATTATGGGGTCTTATGCGGCTTGCACATGGAGTGTAGCTGTTTGGCCTAAGCTTTCAGACTGCTACTAAACCCTAAACCCTAAACCGCAAAGAACCTACCTTTCCAAGGACTTATATAAGGAAATCATAGTAAGGAACCCCAAAAAGGTAGGTTCTTTGGGATCCAGGTAAACCCTAAACCCTGTTCATCTTCGGCAACCTGCACCCTAGAACCCTGATCCCGAAACCTCCCTGGCGGGCTTTCCAGACGGAGGCCCATCCCAAAGGGTCCTAAGTACCTAGATGCGGTGATACTTACTCAACGCATATCGCAAGTCCTAACATAGAAACCCGACTTTCTACTATTAGGCACTTACGAGCCTTTGGGCTTTGATTAGGGTATGTTTCGAGAGGCACGCAGCACACACAGATAAAGGTTGCACATACCAGAACAGCCATTTAGTCGATACGTTGGACCTAAGTCAGTATACGTTGGACCTGAGGACACTTTGGGCAGCTTTTACGTTTTGCCCTTAAAGAATCTAAACAGGAGAACCCCAACCACAGGTTTCCTACGATTTTATGTTTTAGAAAGAACCTACTTTTTCAGGATTCCTTATTGTGATTTCTTGATATAAGTCCTGAAGAAAGTAGGTTATTTGGGGCGCAGGAAGTGCCTGGGTCCTTACTTCTGGGCAGGTGTGCATGCCAGGGGAGGCGAAGGACAAACACACCTGCAATCCCAAGCTCTAGGCCCTAATATAGGGCAGGGGCCTTAATAATTACCTTACTATTTTGGGGGGCTCCTTGTTATAGTTATAATATAGTATCCTCCAAAACCCTATTCTAATTATTAAGGCCGCCATACGAAGCCCTACACTCTACCTCGGAGTGCGAAAACCTACTCTTTCAACCATTCGGTCCCATCATTCATGGGTCATTAGCGACTATGCTGTAGGGTTTGGGGCTACCGGCACTCTTTGCAAATGGTGGCCCTGGAATGGAAGCAATCCTGACCCAGAACTATAAGGTCCCTTTAACTCGTTCCCTTTTGAGGCTATATCAAAATGATCCTTGTTAATCCTTATTGCGCTGCGTTATAACAAACAATGTACAATTGTAGTCAACAAGGACCCAGTTACGGTTTTAAGCTGTGTAGAGGCACATGGGGCTTTTGGGGTTCGGGGTTGGCATTAATGGGGGCCGTAATAGTTAGAACAGGGTTTTTGGGCCCATTCTACTAGAAGTATAATAAGGAACCCCGATATAGTATTGGTAATTATCCAGGCCCCTACACTAGGTTTATAGGCTTATAGTCCGGGCCAGATTTCCTGAGGACTGATGTGGAAAACCTTAAAATCCACGCTTCGTAGCAAAGCCTGAAATGCTGTGGACATATTCTGTTTGGCCGATGGGGGGTTTGCCTGGCGGTTTAGCCTCTAGCTGCTTAGGGCTTGTTCCTGAGGGCTCCAAGGCTGTGCACACAAACTTTGCCGGCATTGCAGGCATGTCGCAATCAGCTACCCGCGATCTTCCAAGCAGGGGTTTAGGGATTCGGGTTTGGGGTCTAAGGATTGGTGTTTGCGGGTGGGCACAACAATTAGACAGTACCGTGAGAATCCGACGACCTCTTGTTCTATGGCTTCCACATTGGGACTATAGGGTTGTATATTACAGCCATACGAGCAGAGTTCTTGGTTCCCTTCGCAGAGGCACGAACGCCTCGTGACAACGAAATACAACCCAACCTCTACGATGCCAGAGCTTTCAACCCAAAGTACAACATACAATTTGACAGCACTTTGTAGGTCTTCATGGCGGTTTCATCCTAAACCCTAAACCCTAGACCCTAAACCCTAAATTTCAGAAACCCTAAACAGAACGCTTCCATAAATCTCGCCCCGATGCCCGAATGTCTGGGGTTCATCCTTTCTGGTTTCGAGCTTGACTTAGGCTTTGGGCAAGTTTAAGGCTTTAGAGCTTTGGGGTTAAGGGCTTTTATGGATTTAGGGTTTAGGGCTTTAGGCTTTTAGGGTGTAGGGTTTAGGGCTTTCGGGTTTTTAGGGGTCAGGGTTTGGGGCTTAGGGTTTTAGGTTGACGTGGCAAATAGGCACTGTAGTCTTACTTAGTGCACTCAGCCCGTCAACATGGAATGGAGGAGCCTGATCTGATAAGTACTAACTTTCCTTTCGTGGGTAGAGTTATAGTTAGTATGATATACTCAGATTCCCATTCCATCTATTATTAGGTCCCTGGTGGCCCTATATCTTATGACAGGAGCGGCTCCAACCCAAGCTTAAGTCAACTAAGGCTGCAAGAAACCAATATACGGGCATGTGTTCTCAGAACAGTGATTGCGCCGATTTGCGGGATTTACACTATAACTATGCTCAGGTTTTTTTGCTAATAACAGTATCAAAGTGCTAGGGGCAACAGCCGCACCAGTAGCAACTGTAGTGTTAGAAGTCAACTAAACCCTTTAGCCCTATTATAGCTTTTGAGGCTAACAGCCCTAAACCCTAAACCCGAAACCCTAAACCCTAAACCGTGGCCAGGCTAAGGACAGAGGATCTTCTGGTGGCACGGGGACTGCTCAGAACCTGTTCCAGGTCCCGAAAAAGAAGGCAGGCCGCCACAGGCTGACGCAAGCACCCACCCGGGTCTCCGGAAAAAATCTAGATTGTAGATCCTTTCAGGGGTTTCCTGTAATGTACCAGTCTAGGACATTTCAGGTGGGTAGTTACTGTTTTAGGAGCCTTGTAGATACCTTATGGAAGCCTTATAGAAGCCCTATATACCCTAAACTCCCCACCTGGAGTTTCCTTCAAACCAGTCAGTATCAAAAAAACAGGGGTTCCATTTTCAAGAGTCTCCCGGAGATCTGGGCATGGAATGGATAGCCCAAGCGTTGGCAGCACGTGTTTCTCTTTAGGGCTTTACTAAAGCATGCTAAGCCCAACTATGCTCCTGTTCAAGGTCCCTAAATCTTGAACCCTCAACCCTAAACCCTGAACCCTGAACCCTAAAACCCTGAACCCTAAAACCCTAAACCCTAAAACCCTAAACCCTGAACCCTAAACCCTAAACCCTAAAACTGGCCCAGACCCTACAACCCTAAACCTCAAGAAGAGTCCTTTAGGGCCCAGGTTCAGCACCCCAAAGGATCCATGTACCTCCGTTAAGGGCTCCTTCAAGAAACCCAAAGGGTCCTAGGTACTGTTATAGGGGATACTTTCCCACATCATAATAACTAAACCCTAAACCCTAAACCCTGAACCGTCTAAGCCTAATATAGAAACCCTACATTATACTATATAGGTACATTGGACCCTTTGGGAAAGGAGTCCGTAAAGGAGCCAAGGGTATTGTAAGCGTTCAGGGTTTAAGTTTAAGGAATTATGTACTTTGGCCTTGAAGTAGGCTAGGTGCATTAATGCCCAAGTATATACCTAGACCTTCAGCATCCCTGAATTACGGAATATATCCTAAATCAAAATAGGGAACCTGCTATAACTTAAGGTATATGGGGGTTTCAGAAAATAGGGGACCGTAATCCAGTACCCTTAATAGTAGGATCCTT